CATCGCATAACCGAACTCTTCATACAAGAAAAGCATGAAGAGATGTATCATGCAGGTGTCGCCCACACGATAGCAAGGTTGAGGAAAAGCTTTGGATACCAAAAGGAAGAGGCGAAGTAAAACGAGTATTGAATAAATGCATGCATTGTAAGCGGTGGAAGGCGAAACCGTTTAAACTGCCAACAATGCCTAAATATCCAGTGACTCGAGTAACACGTTCTCGAATATTTGCTCGAGTGGGTCTGGATATTTGGGTCCCATCTCTATCAAAACTGAGATGGGACTGGCAAAACGACGTCGCCTTATTCACTTGCTGTACTGCCAGAGCCATGTATTTGGAAATGGCAGATAATCTATCTACCGAAAGTTTCTTAAATGTGCTCGGAAGATTCGTAGCCCGGCGCGGTTATCCGGAATTGATTCTAAGCGACAACGCTAGTCAGTTCCAACTGGTCTTCGAAACCATAATGAACCAGGAAACTGATGTCACGGAATTCCTAGTGAAAGGAGGAATGAAGTGGAAAAGCATCATTCCTAAGGCTCCTTGGAGCGGAGGAATCTACGAGAGGATAGTCGGACCAATGAAGAAAGCGTTGAGTAGCAGGAAGAAAACTGCTGAAGGAAAGGGATTTAATAACCCTCATAGCAGAAATAGAAGGAATACTCAGTACTCGGCCGCTAACATACGTAAACTTGACGATTCCAAACTTTTACATCCAATAGATTTCTAGATTTCATCTCCCTCGAAACATCGCTATCAATACCAATGGAATGTGAGGACAAGGAAAATGAATATGATCCCTACACTATAAATACTCAAAGAAAACTTAGACTTTGGAAGAGTACATTGAAGGTCCTTGACATTTTCTGGGAGATGTGGAAAGATGAATATTTAAATAGCTTAAGGGAAATGGACATAAACGGAACACAAATCACCCAAAAACGTAAAAGAAAGAGTTTCACCTAACGGAGAAGTGGTATTGATGAAAGAAACGGAAGCTCCTCGAGGCACTTGGAAATTAGCAAAAATCAAAAAACTCAATGTTAATGCTGATAGTAGCGAACGAGAAGTGTCCAAATAGAAACACTCAATGGAAAACTTCTGAATCGACCGATAAATACATTATATCCATTAGAAATCAGCCAAGAAGAGAGTTCAATTGAACAATTCCAAGAGTCACCAGACCAAACCGAAAAGGAGGAACAACCTATAGCTCGGCAAACTCGAAGTGCTACAAGGCTCCAACAAGATCAATGCACATCCACGGGTAAACAACAAAGAGGAAATTCAATGAACGGACAAACCAGAGATATCATTACTTAAATCCAAGATTCGGCACAAAAGAAAGTTGGGCTAAGGTCAATGACAAAAGGATTATTATTGATAACAATGATTTTGATGATGGTAACGCAAACTACGGCGAAGAAAAATTGCAGATGGATATCTGGGATACCACTTAACGTGCCCTGAAAAATGGAACTGCAGAGAAATCACAACTGAAAATGCCACAATAATAACTGTCACAGTACACACTCGAACATATGTACGAAAAGTGATACACACTCGAACATATGTACGAAAAGTGACTATAAAATGTAGTAGTATCACTCGGATAATGTGCACTAAAGCACTTCCTCAGATGGTCATTGTCAGTAGTTTCCGATCAAACGATTACCTTCGCAACTACATCACAGTTTTGCAAAGCCTTAAAAGCGACAGAAAAGGTGAACGAAATGACCTTAAATCAAGTTTCTCCAAATAAATGGATGTCAATAAACAACATGCAATATTCATATGAATGGTTGGGAGTCAAATGCCAAATGATAATGAACTTCATGCTCGAAAAAGGAGAAATCTTTCTGTATAATGGAAGGAGTCCTGTGTCAGATCTTGCCTCTACGGAAAACTGCACTACTCCAATGGGCAAATGCGTAACAAATACTAGCGTTGTCTTATGGAATAAAACGGCAGCAACAGGACATTATTTGTGTCGAAGAATTAGAAAATTTAAGGCTTTGAAATATGGAACTCACCTTGTCATAGGTGAGTTACAAACCTCGTTCATATTTGAAGAGAAAGACAAACCGTAACAATGTATTGTGGATTTATTGATCCACATTTAATGAAAAGGGATTTCATTATCGAAATAAATGGTGTGAAGGATGAAAACTTAGTCAAAGCAATTCAAGAAGAACTTGTCGCTTCAAGAACCACAAGTACGAGAAAACAGCAGCAGAATTCAAACTTCTGCCAATGGATTCAATGTTCCTCAGCGGGGTATGTCGGAAAAATCCGAAAACTTGTGATATTAAATTATTCATATCAGTTGAGATTTGTGTCACTGACAGTTAAGCTGAGGAAGTTGTGTTTCGCAATTTATCTTTGTTAGATTTTAGGATACATTTAATTTGTCATTGACAATTTGTTATTGTTAATATTAACTTCTTGTCATATGACCTCATTGTGTTGCTTTAATTCATTAAAAGATTGTTTTATAACGCCTTTGCCCCTTAATTGTTCTTTGTCTCTTATGTGAAACCGATGTAGCTAACAAGTAATCCTACAAAGTTTCTTTGTCCTCATTGCTTCTTCCTTCTATAGTATTAGCCATTAAATCCATTATCTACTCTCCTCGTACCGTCCACATTGGGGATATAATATATTATCGGGAAGTGACTCTCTCTCTTCTTTCATTCCATCATTTCAACACCTATATGCTTAATCGTCTCCACTTCCAACTATCATCGAATCAACGGCTAATCATTTTATCTTTGATACTAAATTTGTTCCAGTACAATTCCCAACAATAAAATAAATCTAAACAAGAAGTTGTATAGCAAATCGACAAATCGTGCCATTGCAGAATGGAAAAATTTGATGAATAAAGCTAAATTATAAATGGTACAGTATCCTGAATCACCTTTTAAAGGTTGATAGTCGATTGGTGTACTGGGCAGGTAGTTCGGGGCCTAATTATTGAATTTCATATGGTTCAGTGGAAGGAATAAAAATGTGATGGGACCCAATGAAGCCAGTCATATATTAATGGAAAAGTGAATCAACAAAAATCAAACCTCTCCATAAGAAATCCCTCCGCTAATAAACTCTAAATTATCTCAGGAGTTCTCCCAAAAAGCCACGATATCTGGAACAGTTTTGAAGCTGCATTACATCTTCAAAACATTTCGAATATTCAAGAATTGGATTGTTTAATAGCATGTCTCAAAGGAGACGCTTTACAAGTTGCAAGGGAATACGATATAACCTCTGAGAAATATGACATTATAAGGAAGGTTCTCGTTGAGAAGTTCGGCCAATCACATACAATCAAAAGATTGATCTATTAGGAATTGCACTCTATCAAGAAAATATTGATCGTAATTGGATATATAAAAGAATCATACAACCTCATTGACATAATAGTTCCAAATGTGACATCATGCAATCGGATATACCACGAAGTATGCCGAAATACAAAATTATTCGAAACATCGATCGATTTTGGAGGTTAAAAATTATTGGAATCCAAGATAAGCTTAATAATGATGATGATGATGAATGAGTTTTAGAGCGATTTTGAAGAAATTATTACAAAGATCAACGGACGATACCAAGTATCATGATTGTGGAAAGAAGCAAATTTTAAACTGAATGACAATTTTAGGCTATGTTTTGATCGTTTTACGATCATTAATCAAACGGCTTCAAAATGATAACCGTTTACTTTTAATATATGCCGAAATAATCAATTGTGAGAATCTTATAATTTTTGAGATTTATAACTTTTATCCTTTTTTTGAAAATCAAGAAGAAAGTGATCATAAGTGTCGTTTCGAATCAACCGATTCAATCAATTTAAATTCAACAGATTTGAATTGAGTACTGCAAATTAACAGAATTAATTACTTTGAAGCTTAACAAACAAAACTGATTTAACTACATTTATTGTTATTTATTGTTTCTGTTACAATTTTAGAGATGAACTTTTCGAATGAAGACAGAGCGCATATCTGCTACTATATGAAGCCTCTGCTGGATATCATTTGTTCTCTAAACGTTTCCTACGCCTCTCTATGCATGTCGTTGTGCAGTAAATAGATCAAACGCAACAACAGATAGCAAGGAAAGGAATTCAAACATAACAAAAACTTTCAGCTTTGTCATATTTAAATTCCTTACACCTAAATGGAAAATGTTTTTCGTATTCGGAAATGATGATTTTACAAAATACACGTATTTCATTACTTCAGCATATTTTGAAGTGAATTATATTGTTTTCTCTATCCTTGATTAGAGTAGTAGTTAGTATCTCCGAGTGAGTTTTCCAGTTTCATATTATTTTTGAAGATTTTATCTCAAAAAAAAAAAAAAAATCATCAAAGAATTTGTGTTAAGATCTTTTACTACCAAGTACTGGAAAAGCTAAAATAATTTTTAATAAACTTCAAAATGAAGTAAATTTTGCGTTGTAGAAATCCATAATAAAGAGATTGCTAATTGAAGATTTAATTTGTCTCAAAATGTTAAGTTAGTAATTTGTTAATTTAGCTTCTTTGTGCTCAAAAAGACTATAAATAGTGCGCTTCGAGTTGATTCAATTAATGTCACCATTCCAGGGTACCACCAGATAAGTGCTGGACTGTATTATGGGCGATCTTTATCATCAACTTGTCATAGCTGAATGACACTTTCAAATTTTAAAGGATTTCCTGTAATATGTTTATTAGTATTCAATGTGTAACTTATATGCATGAAAGTATGCGATAATTGCTTTGTTTCAATCGCAAACAAAAATTTTGCAATATCAGAGCGGAGAAGGAAAGAATGGAATATGTGGTGAGATAAATTGATCACATCTACAATTTTTAAGGTCCCTTATTTTTATCCTAACAGTTAGCAAGGGATTTTCCTAATTTCCATATTGTCAAAGAGATAAGAATTCTTGCAATATGGAAAGTTAGTGAACACTTAAATTTTTAAGGTCCCTTATTTTTATCCTAACAGCTAGCAAGGTATTTTTCTAATTTCTAATTACAGTTTATTACCAAAGAGATAAGTATTCTTGCAATATGGAAAGTAAGTGAACATTTAATTAATTTTAAATCAGTATTATCACATTTAGGCAATGATTTAAAGAGCCAAAATATGTTTTATGATGTCAAAATATGCTCACGTAATATTAGAAATACTTTAAAATCTACATTAAATAGGAGCTGATATAATCGATTAAAAATGCAATGGAAATTTAAAAAGAGTTTTGAAAGCAATTCCAAGAATGACAGTATTGATAAAAATTTCTTCATTAATTGAACTATGCTAAATGCAAAATTAAATTTTAAACATCCTGCATTTTTCAATATATAACAAAAGTATTTACAAAAAAAAAGACTTTCAATATATTTTGCTGCTTTAAAAGTATGCAAATAATACAATTAAAAAGTGACATGAAGAAAATCTCGATGAAAAACATTTTTGAATGCCTGGGAATTATGAAAGATGTGTTAATAGCTAATTTTTATTGAAGATGCAAAATAACAATTAAATTTCCAGTTCAGCAAATGATGATGATACAAAGGCCGTCATTGCTGGATAATATAGTAAACTTGCTCGAGCAAGAGTGGAATAAGTTAAAACTGTGGTAGAAGATTATTTCCTGAATTCATCAACCGATAATTTATGTATTTTATGGATAATGCAGATATTTTGGAATTAAACAGCATAATTTTGAAGAATGTACAACATACGATGATGAAAATTAAAAAATAATTGGAAATTTATTTTTAAAACTCCTTCATTTATTTCAAAAACACTCACACGAAATATCGAAAAAATTATACAAATCTCAACTTAGCTACAGTAACAATGTAAATGAAAGGACAGAAAACAATAGTAAAACAAAAAATATAGCTTTCGGGCGCTAATCATTAGTTAATATAAAATGTTCATTAGCAGATGATATAATTTGATCGAATTTTTCTTGAAAATTATCCTAAATTCTAAAAACTATTACTATCCAATAATTTTTATTATTTCCAAACTGTAGAATATCAAAGAAAAAAGAAATAAAGACGAAAAATCAGAATGAAAATATATCCAAAAAATAAAAGTCAAAATATCGAAAGATCATTGGTGAGAGAAAGTTGTTGTATGAACTTGTCGTGTCTTGAATTCGATTACTTTCGCAGTTTGTGCTTTATGTATTCCAAATCTGTATTGTAGAAATCGTCGAAGTTTTTATATTGACTTTGTATGGTTTGAATTTGATACATATTAATTTCTTATTTAAACTCAAAAAGAACGTTCATTTAATTGGACTTAATTAGATTTCTACTTGCAACTCAATTTTTATATTTACTTTGTATTGCTTGAATTTGATATATATTAATTTTTTATTTGCATTTAATTGGACTTAATTAGATTTTTATTTGCAACTCATTAAGCTCAAAGAGAAATGGTGTTCAAAAACCACAAAAAAACCATCACTTTCTTCCTCTGGTAAACAATTCTCTAAAATGCTACACAGTGATTCATCAAACTAAAAATCTAATTTTTCATAGCTCTCACAGAAAATCACAATTGCTACTATAAACAAACACAAATTATGCTATTTTCTGCTAACGTTATTTATCCATTACTTCCTATTTCGTTCATTAAGTTAGCTGACTTCAACTCTTAGTTTGATTTTAAATCAAAATTTGACAGGATATCATAGCTTAAATGACTTCACTATGATTACCATTCATCATTTTGTAATATTTTGATCTATCATTAGCATGACAAAAGAAAATATGATCTATTTAAGCTATACAAATATTTGAAATTCACTTACTTATGAAATATGCCCGGCATTGAATCAATGAGAGCTTCGCGAATTTCATGTGATCGACAACCAACAATAATTGTCTTAGACAAGGAATTTAGAAATGAAATAATAACAATTGTTGAGTAAACAGAATTCGGTATCACTTCGTTACTCGTCTCAACGAATGCCACAATCATCGGCAGAACGTATAGGCCAGCAGTTGCAAAGCACGACAAACCTACCGTTTTTGTAAAGTTTAATTGGCGCCTATTTATCTTAATCGTTTCAGTGTTCTGAAAATAGCCAATTTAAAAAATTATTACTCGCTAATTCATAGTAATACAAAACAAAAGGATGTTTTACAAATGTTGAAAATTCTTCAATTTTACTATGGAAGAAATTTAAACGAAATAAGCACTTCGTTAATATTAAAATTCTGACTTCTTATCAAATCAATAGGAATGCATTTTTGTGCATTTTAAATTTAATTAATCACTATTCAGA